TTGGAGGTAGTGGTCGAGTGAAGTGGATGTAGTGGTAGAGCGGGGGTAGTGGTAGAGTGGAGTTGAGTTAGTAGTACAGTGGAGTTGAGGTAGTAGTCTAGTGGAGTTCAGGTAGTAGTAGAGAGCAGTTGAGGAAGTGGTAGAAATGAGTGGAGGTAGTGGTAGAGTGAAGTGTACGTAATGGTAGAATGAAGTGGAGGAAGTGGTAGAGGGAATTGGAGGTAGTGGTAGAGTGAAGTGGATGTAGTAGTGGAGTAGAGGTAGAGTTGAGTGTACGTAATGATAGAATGTAGTGGAGGTAGTGGTAGAGTGGAGTGGATGCAATAGTAGATAGGAGTGGAGATAGTGGTAGAGTGGATTGGAGGAAGTGGTAGAGTGAAGTGGATGTAGTAGTGGAGTGGAGGTAGTGGTAGAGTGGAGTTGAAGTAGTGGTAGAGTGGAGTTGAGGAAGCGGTAGAGTGGAGTGGAGGTAGTGGTAGACTGAAGTTGAGGTAGTGGTAGAGTGAAGTGGAGGTAGTAGTAGAGGGAAATTGAGGTAGTGGTAAAGTGGATGGAGGTAGTGGTAGAGTGAAGTGTACGTAATGGTAGAATGAAGGGTAGAGTTGAGTGTACGTAATGATAGAATGTAGTGGAGGGAGTGGTAGAGTGGAGTGGAGGTAGTGGTAGAGTGAAGTGGATGTAGGAGTGGAGTAGAGGTAGAGTTGAGTGTACGTAATCATAGAATGTAGTGGAGGTAGTGGTAGAGGGGAGTGGATGCAATAGTAGATAGGAGGGGAGATAGTGGGAGAGTGGATTGGAGGTAGTGGTAGAATAGTGTAGTGAATGTAGTGTAGATAGTGTAGTGGATGTAGTGGTGATAGGGTAGTGGATGTAGTGGTCATAGTGTAGTGGATGTAGTGGATGTAGTGGATGTAGTGGTAGAGTGTAGTGTATGTAGCGGTGATAGTGTAGTGAATGTAGTGTAGATAGTGTAGTGGATGTAGTGGTGATAGGGTAGTGGATGTAGTGGTCATAGTGTAGTGGATGTAGTGGATGTAGTGGTAGAGGGTAGTGGATGTAGCGGTGATAGTGTAGTGAATGTGGTGTAGATAGTGTAGTGGATGTAGTGGTGATAGGGTAGTGGATGTAGTGGTCATAGTGTAGTGGATGTAGTGGATGTAGTGGATGTAGTGGTAGAGTGGAGTTGAGGTAGTGATAGGGTGGAGTGGAAGTAGTGGTAGAGTGAAGTGGAGGTAGTGGTAGAGTGAAGTGGAGGAAGTGGTAGAGGGAATTGGAGGTAGTGGTAGAGTGAAGTGGATGTAATAGTGGAGTAGAGGTAGAGTTGAGTGTACGTAATGATAGAATGTAGTGATAGAGTGTAGTGGTGATAGTGTAGGGGATGAGGTGGAGGGTGTGGAGGTAATAGTGGAGTGGATGGAGTAGTAGATAGGAGGGGAGATAGTGGTAGAGGGGATTGGAGGTAGTGGTAGATTGAAGTAGAGGAAGTAGTAGAGTCGAGTGGAGGTAGTAGCAGAGAGGAGTGGATGTAGTGGTAGGGTTGAATGGAGGTACTGATAGATGGAAGTTGATGTAGTGGTAAAATGAAGTTGAGGGGAGGTAGTGGTAGAAGTTGAGGTAGTAGTAGCGTGGAGTGGAGGTAGTGGGGTAGAGGGGAGTGTACGTAATGGTAGCATGCAGTGGAGGTAGTGGTGGAGTGAAGTGGATGTTGTAGTGGAGTAGAGATAGTGGTAGCGTGGATTGTACGTAATGGTAGCATGCAGTGGAGGTAGTGGTGGAGTGGAGTGGATGTAGTAGTGTATTGGAGGTAGTGGTGGAGTGGAGTGGATGTAGTGGGAGAGTGGAGGGGAAGTAGTGGTGTTTAGGCAGTAGTAGTAAAGTGGGCAGTAGTAGAGTGGAGTTGAAGTAGTGGTAGAGGGAATTCGAGGTAGTGGTAGAGTTAAGTTGAGGGAGTGGTAAAATGAAGTTGAGGTAGTGGATAGTGGTAGAGTGGATTGGAGGGAGTGGTAGAGTGAAGGGGATGTAATAGTGGAGTAGAGGAAGAGTTGAGTGTACGTAATGATAGAATGTAGTGATAGAGTGTAGTGGATGTAGTGGTGATAGTGTAGGGGATGAGGTGGAGGGTGTGGAGGTAATAGTGGAGTGGATGGAGTAGTGGAGGAGAGATAGTGGTAGAGGGGATTGGAGGTAGAAGTAGAGTGGAGTGGATGTAGTGGTGATAGTGAAGTGGATGAAGTGGTTGTAGTGGACGAGTGAAGTGGATGAAGTGGTTGTAGTGGACGAGTGAAGTGGATGAAGTGATAGAATGGAGTGATAGAGGGTAGTGGTGATAGTGAAGTGGATGAAGTGGTAGAGTGTAGACAGTGGAAGAGTGTTGTGAATGTAGTGGGAGAGAGGAGTGGAGGGAGTGGTAGAGGTAAGTTGAGGTAGTGGTACAGTGGAGTTGAAGAAGTAGTAGAGTGGAATGATGTAGTGGTGGATGTAGTGGTGATAGTGTAGTGGATGTAGTGATAGAGTGTAGTGGATGTAGTGGGAGAGTGGAGTTGAGGAAGTGATAGAGTGGAGTTGAGGTATTAGCAGAGTGGAAGTGGGGGGCTAGTGGTAGATTGAAGAGGAGGAAGTAGTAGAGTCGAGATGAGGTAGTGGTAGAGGGAAGTGGATGTAGTGATGGATGTAGCGGCGATAGTGTAGTGGATGTAGTGGTGATAGTGAAGTGGATGAAGTGGTAGAGTGTAGTGGATGTAGTGATAGAATGAAGTTGAGGTAGGGGTAGAGTGAAGTTGAGTAGTGGTAGAGTGAAGAGTGGAGTGGAGGTGGCAGTAGAAGAGTGGAGTGGAAGTAGTGGTGTTTAGGTAGTAGTAGTAAAGTGGATTGGAGGTAGTAGTAGAGTGGAATGGGGGGTAGTGGTAGATTGAAGTGGAGGAAGTAGTAGAGTCGAGATGAGGTAGTGGTAGAGTGGAGTGGAAGTAGTGGTAGAGTGGTGTTGAGGTGGTAGTAGAGTGGAGTGGAGGTAGTGGTAGAGTGGAGTTGAGGTAGTGGTAGAGTGGAGTTGAGGAAGTGATAGAGTGGAGTGGAGGTAGTGGTAGAGTGGAGTGGAGGTAGTGGTAGAGTGAAGTTGAGGTAGTGGTAGAGTGAAGTGGAGGTAGTAGTAGAGGGAAATTGAGGTAGTGGTAAAGTGGAGTGGAGGTAGTGATAGAATGAAGTTGAGGTAGTGGTAGAGTGAAGTGGAGGTAGTGATAGAGGAAAGTTGAGGTAGTGATAGAGTGAAGTTGAGGTAGTAGTAGAGTGGAGTTGAGGTAGAAGTAGAGTGGAGTTGAGGTAGTGGTAGAGTGAAGTGGAGGTAGTGGTAGAGTGAAGTTAAGGAAGTGGTAGAGTGAAGTGGAGGTAGTAGTAGAGGGAAATTGAGGTAGTGGTAAAGTGGAGTGGAGGTAGTGATAGAATGAAGTTGAGGTAGTGATAGAGTGGAGTTGAGGTAGAAGTAGAGTGGAGTTGAGGTAGTGGTAGAGTGAAGTTGAGGTAGTGGTAGAGTGGAGTTGAGGTAGTAGTAGAGTGGAGTGGAGTTAGTAGTAGAGTGAAGTGAGGTAGTGATAGGATGAAGTTGAGGTAGTGATATAGTGGAGTTGAGGTAGAAGAAGAGTAGAGTTGAGGTAGTGGTAGAGTGAAGTGGAGGTAGTGGTAGAGTGAAGTTGAGGTAGTAGTAGAGTGGAGTGGAGGTAGTGGTAGAGTGGAGTGGAGGTAGTGATAGAGGGAAATTGAGGTAGTGGTAAAGTGGAGTGGAGGAAGTGATAGAATGAAGTTGAGGTAGTGATAGAGTGGAGTTGAGGTAGTAGTAGAGTGGAGTTGAGGTAGTGGTAGAGTGAAGTTGAGGTAGTGGTAGAGTGAAGTTGAGGTAGTGGTAGATTGGAGTTGAGGTAGTAGTAGAGTGGAGCGGAGTTAGTAGTAGAGTGAAGTGAGGTAGTGGTAGAGTGAAGTTGAGGTAGTAGTAGTGTGGAGTTGAGGTTGTGATAGTGTTAAAGGGAATTTGAGGTAGTGATAGAGTTAAGTTGAGGTAGTGGTAGAGTGGAGTTGAGGTATTAGCAGAGTGGAATGGGGGTAGTGGTAGATTGAAGTGGAGGTAGAAGTAGAGTGGAGTGGAGGTAGTGGTAGAGGGAAATTGAGGTAGTGGTAAAGTGGAGTGGAGGAAGTGATAAAATGAAGTTGAGGTAGTGATAGAGTGGAGTTGAGGTAGTAGTAGAGTGGAGTTGATGTAGTGGTAGAGGAAAGTGGAGGTAGAAGTAGAGTGGAGTAGAGGTAGTGGTAGAGGGAAATCGAGGTAGTGGTAAAGTGGAGTGGAGGAAGTGATATAATGAAGTTGAGGTAGTGATAGAGTGGATTTGAGGTAGTAGTAGAGTGGAGTTGAGGTAGTAGTAGAGTGAAGTTGAGGTAGTGGTAGAGTGAAGTTGAGGTAGTAGTAGAGTGGAGCGGAGTTAGTAGTAGAGTGACGTGAGGTAGTGGTAGAGTGGAGTTGAGGTAGTAGTAGAGTGGAGTTGAGGTAGTAGTAGAGTGGAGCGGAGTTAGTAGTAGAGTGACGTGAGGTAGTGGTAGAGTGAAGTTGAGGTAGTGGTAGAGTGAAGTTGAGGTAGTAGTAGTGTGGAGTTGAGGTAGTGATAGTGTTAGAGGGAAGTTGAGGTAGAAATAGAGTGAAGTTGAGGTAGTGGTAGAGTGGAGTTGAAGAAGTAGTAGAGTGGATTGTGAACGATTACAATCGAGCGTTATAAGTGTTGAATGCATAGAGAGAAATGGGGAAATATGCACATGATAAAGACACCTGGTGGGATTTTTTCAATTAACCGAAAGAAATTCCTATCATTTCTTTCTACCCCGGTATTGTAAATAAACCCGCACAGTGTATACGTTATACTGCGGAGGTTTGTTGATAGTATCAAAATGGGTAAATGTTAATATCACAAAGGAATTTAATTGTCGCCATTCAAAACAATAATATACAATCACAGTATACTTACCATACAACCCGACACGGCGATGTCTGTTATACACACTATATCATAGCAAAACACATTCCATGCTTGTATGTTGTCATGTCCAAGTTGAAATATAAATCCAATTACATCCAGAAGTTATAGCGCATCCTTAAAGCAATCAATATATTCCCATTTTTCTTTTATACTTATATACAGCTGAATTGGAATTATACTTTATCTCTCCCAGTAGTTCACCTGTATCACTTTATGACATTTTGAACACGTGCACATATGGGTCGGCCTAAATGTATGTGCATTTTGTTCTAATATAAATAGTATTATATAAACATAAGTCTATAGTATATGTGTCCGGCCCTTGTGTAGTCGAGTTTTCCCACGAGGCGGTGGCTAAAATCCCCCATTCAAGAACATACGGCTAATCCAGACTTGTACCACATATTATGTTCTCTATGACTGTGTACGTATTATAAGTGTTTTATCTTGTTAATACATACAAATGTACAATAATAATATGGACTATTTCGTTTACAATTTGAAACGTGACCCACAATATTTGCAAAACGTGACATTGGCGGACTGTTGACAAGAGGTGAGTGAAGCGGTAAACGAGTTTCTATTTTTAGCCATATACCAGGTGCGTATATGGTACAGGTTAAAGGGAAGTCACTCGTACAATTTTACAATTCTTATGCGAGCCCATGTCATATCGGAACGCCGATACACCATCACTGAATTTAACTTTTAAAAGTGAATAGAACATGTAGCTTTTACTTACTACCATCTTAGCTTTTCACTATAGCAACTCAAATGATTCAATGGGAATTGGGCAACAGGCTATGCCTATACAAGCCCTCTCCTTTGGGTTACATACATTTCAAACAATAACATAATTATAATTTAGACATTAACATATTAGAACTGCCTTGGAACATGAAATAGTACTTAATACTTAATACTTAATAGTCTCTATCTCTGAACTAAGCAAAATAAAAAAATAAATAAAATGACAGGTGAAACAAATACAGTTGGGATTTTTGTTATTTTTTCTTTACATATTAACCAGTATATATAAAATATATTTCAAAATGGAAAGCAATGTGTGTATACTGCATTTGTAAATAATCAAATTTTATAAATTTCACAATATATATATATATATATTAATATCAAAAACTGGAACCTCCATTCAATACAGTAAATATGAAATATTGTTAGTTAAACAATTTGTAACACGAAAAAGTAGTATTCATATAGACATGTATACATACACATTGGGACTAGAATTAATAGTTATTTCAAAATCTGTTAGTAGACTCAATATATTTCTGAACACGCACACAAATAGTAGAATTAGGATCATGACTAAGGTGGTTACTTCCCCTAGTTAGTATATTGGTATTATTTATTAAATGCTCAATCAGGTTTAAGTCGAAACTTAAATGTAGGTTTAATTGAATGTAAAGCTACAAATGAGACAGAGAATCTAATAGGATTTGTCTTTGGAGTATATACCTAGGGCGGTATAGAAAGAAGTGATCCACATCTTCGTCATAGTTGCCACATATACAGGATGGGCTATTAGTAAGATGGTCTCTAAAAAGGTCAGAATTTAATTGACTTGCATGGTTTCTAAGTTGACATAAAATGACGTTTAAAGATCTAGTCCCTCCATATTTAAAAGCATTTTTACATGTATCCTCAGCATTAGGAAGAATGGCATGATGCTTTTTAAGTTCACTTACCGACCTCAAATTATAATAATTATAATCGGGTCTATTCCACCGAGACATCATACTAGGAAAGAAACTGTTAAAATATATACTAGTTCTGCAAATGGGTGTTTGATATACGTTGATGTCGTATGCCACTAAGTCATTGTTTGATATAAGGTTCAATGTTTTCAAACGGATCATTAGAAGTATGACGGTTTGTTATTTGAAAAAATAGCATATGTTGCTGGTCATTTCTGGTTCGACAATACGTGTCGATATCAACAAGGTCACTGAACATATATATGAGGAGAGTTTTTACCTGTCCACAGTGTTATACTGGTGTCGTGGAGGAGTTCTTACCTGTCAACAATGTAATACGGGTGTCGTGGAGGAGTTCTTACCTGTCAACAGTGTAATACTGGTGTCGTGGAGGAGTTCTTACCTGTCAACAGTGTAATACTGGTGTTGTGAAGGAGTTCTTACCTGTCAGCAGTGTAATTCTGGTGTCGTGGAGGATTTCTTACCTGTCAGCAGTGTAATACGGGTGTCGTGGAGGAGTTCTTACCTGTCAACAGTGTAATACTGGTGTTGTGAAGGAGTTCTTACCTGTCAGCAGTGTAATTCTGGTGTTGTGGAGGAGTTCTTACCTGTCAACAGTGTAATACTGGTGTCGTGGAGGAGTTCTCACATATCAACAGCTTAATACTTTGGAGGGAGGGGGTCGTCGTTTAACAGCAATCCACTCTTTCCTGGTGCTCTCGTGACAAACCGCACTTCCATACGAACGAAAAGAGTTTACAACATCCTACAGCTGGACCAGGTTACAATATGATGGTAGAAACTATCTGATCAAGTAACCCAAGAAATAATACTATATTTCTAACGAAATAAAGTCGAAATAGACAGACAACAACCTAATATACATTACATATACACAATATCAACACTAAAACATAAAAAACAAAATAGCACCCATATACATTGTAACCAATGGAGGTAATTTTTAATGTACACGGAAGAATACCGGAACACCGTCATACAACTGACTTATAGATAAAATAGGTTTATTTGTTTATGTAAAGCAGTTGTCTCATACTTCAACATTGGCCGAACATTAATTTTCTTTTAGTGTTAAATATGTTGTATGATAGTATAGTGTCATTAAGAGTGTGTGACAAGTAATTAAAAAAACCTCTTCATTTCACTTTCTCGTGTCGATATATCATTCCTTCTCTCACCTTTTCCACAGCTAAGACTGGTAAATTACCAAAACAAACAGGGAGGTCATTGGTCAGATGATTGTACAGAATAAGTCAACGTTTTGGGTTAGTTTATCAAAAGAATGTAGGCGTATGAAATTTATTTCAGTTAAAAATAGATATATATAACTTCTAATCCAAACCGTATATCTAAACTTGTCAGCATCAAATATTCAACCAGTTAACATCATGTTTCATTAGATCCAAAGGCAATTGACAGTGGATAACTGTTACCGGCTAATGTAGGCATTTAATTCTAGGCTGGTCCCGAAGGCATCTAAGTCTTACAGGCTAAATGTAGGCTGGTCATTGAGGTATCTAACAGGCTACAAGTAGGCTGATCACGGGGGCATCTCAGTGTAACAGGCTACAAGTAGGCTGGTCCAGAAGGCATCTAAGTCTTACAGGCTAAATGTAGGCTGGTCATTGAGGTATCTAACAGGCTACAAGTAGGCTGGTCACGGGGGCATCTCAGTGTAACAGGCTACAAGTAGGCATGTCACGGAGGCGTCTAAGTCTAACAGGCTATATGTAGACTAGTCCTGGAGGCATTTAAGTCTTACAGGCTAAATGTAGGCTGGTCCAGAAGGCATCTACGTCTTACAGGCTACGTGTAGGCTGGTCCCGGGGGCATTTAAGTCTTACAGGTCCCGGAGGCATCTATCAGTAATACTGGCATGTAGCAATGTATTTATGATATTTTTAATAAAATAATAAACCTATCTTGCTGTATGGATGTGAAGTCTGGGGTTACCAAAACACTCAGATTTTCGAACGTTTTCATTCAAAATTCTGTAAATTGATGTTAGGTTTGATAACAAAGTACACCAAATTGTATTGTTTATGGTGAACTCGGTACATGTCTCCTTTTAATTGAAATAAAAACTAAAATGATTAGTTATTGGTTAAGAATATTACAGTCTAAAGAGAGTAAATTGGATCTTGTTTTGTATAATATGTTATATCATGCTTATAATAATGAAAACAAATTAATTCCCTACTCGAAATTTATACAAAGTATTTTGAATGAAGTGGGCTAATATATATATGGGGTTCCCAGTTTTTGGAACATGGTAACCAGCTATGGGTAAAACTTATTACACAGCAAATATTAAATGACCATTTTACAAAAATGGAGTAATGCTTTTTATTAATTCCTCTATGTCTGTGTGTTACAGAACATACAAATATAATTGTAAATTTGAAAATTATCTAGAATTGTTGACTGAAAATGAACGAGTTGTATTGTGTAGTAATCATAAGTTTATAGTGGAAACTGGAAGATGGAATAATGTTGAGTACCAAACCAGAATATGCACATATTGCGATACCCAAGACATTGGTGACGAATTTCACTACTTGTTAAAATGTCCCTTTCTGTCTACAGAAAGAAAGTTATATTTATACAAATACTACTACGAAATGCCCAATAGTGTTAAGTTCTCCGAACTAATGAATACAAAAAATGTTAAAATGTTAAGAAATTTATGCAAATTTATAAAAAAAAACTGTTTGAAAAAGTATCATGATTTGTCCTCCATGTATATTACATTTGATATTGTATACTGTTGTAAATATGTTTTCTATGTATATTTATAATTTTGTAAAAATACTAAAGTTTGAGTTTAAGTTAAAAAGTAGTTTTATTGTATAAACAATTATTTTACGTATGATTGTGCATTGTTTAGGTCTTTGTCAAGTCCATTGCCATCATCATTCAAAGAATTAATATAAACTGAATAACGAGTACACATGGTAAGGTAAACCTGGTTAAATCAAGCGAAATACTTAAATTCTAAATAAAAATACCCAAGGTAATCTAGGTTATGCATAAAATGTCAATGAATAAAGAATTTACTATAAATTTCAACTTTGGGTTTTGATAACATCTTTTTCTTAGATTGGGAAATATCAGACATTTTATATCATGAAAAATCTAAAATCAGTTCATGAAAATATCGACGTATTTGGTTGATGGATAATCAACTTGCCCTGTGGAAAATCGATTTTTGTAACATTGAAATAGACTTAAAGGGGCCAGTATGCGACTGGTACTAAATGCATATTTAAAATTTACTAAACAGAAGAATATGGATTATTTATGTGTGTATAAGAGTATATATAGATATCTGTCAGGATCTCTTTTATTTCCATGTATCGACTTTGTACTAAGTCCCCGGAGGTCGGGCCATAGTCCTATGCTAGTTCTGGTAGCACGAGTCATGTCCAGTAAACAGTTATATGGTTAAAAGCTTGGGATCTCAACTGTTTCAAAGTTATGTCCCAAGGTCCGAGTACCTAGGGGCCA